GTATTGCTGTGGGGAAATGGTTAATGTGGGTTAATTTAGTTTGGAAGAAGAGTCTGGAGATCTTCGAAAGTAAATATACAATTCAAAATATAGACAGTTGTTTAATTTCTCTACAACAAAATATATCATTATTGTGCTGTCACACATTCCCATCTCTCCTCTCCTCCAACGGTGCCAGCCTCCATCACTTTCTTGTCCACTTCCCACATGAGCACCTTTATACTTTCTTCCATGCTACTCTTTACTCATAGAATTCCCTCCCCAGATTAATTCGTAAAGCCAGTATGCTGGTTTTTGATCTTCTTGATCTTTCCTCAAGACCCACTTGCACCATGATGTCTTTGATAGTTTACTAACTGATAATACCTATGCTGGTACTTTAAATAAACAAGTAACTTAAGCGTGTGCTTCAATGTTTTGAGGGTCAGGGCTGGAGGGCCCAGACTGATACCTTGCATGATTAAGCCCTAGATCAGACGCCAAGCCCTAGATCAGCCAAACCAGAGTACCAGTTTTATACTACGACAGCGTATTAGACAGTGCATATGTCTGCTGACAAATACAAACACTATGGTTTATCAGTGGGGATTGAAACAAGGTAATTAAGGACCAAACACACAATCCCCTGCCACCTGTGCTTAAGGAGTCATTCTGTTAGTAGAAATCAAGGATCAGTTTTAATTATTAGTAGCTGCCACTAGGGGGAGATACATTCAAGTACATTAATCCACTGTATTACACATACACAAAACTCACAAATCTAGTTTATACTTAGTTTGCTCCTGTGGTCTGCTTCAGACGTGGTCCTGAGAGATAGGGTGACCATACATTCCATTTTGGCAGGGACAGTCCCCTTTTTAAGCCCTGTTTCTGACATCCTGACTTTTTTGGCAAAACTGGGCATTTGTCCTGTTTTGCCAGAAAAGTGAGGCGTGCCCCCCTGGGGGGCACAGAGGAACATTTGGGGGGGTAAGCGGCAACTTTTGGAGGGGAGATAGGAGCCTGGATGATGTGTCTCCTCTATGCCCTGCCCCTCCAATCAGGGAGTAATGGGATATCATGTGCTCACTCTGCTGCCCAATCAGTGGGCAGCGCAGTCAGGGCCCTAATTCAAACTCTTCTCCGGTTGGGCCATGGAGCCGTGATTTGTGGGCCCTGGGCCCTATTGGGCAACCCAGCTGGTGAGTGAATGACCAGGTCCCGCAGCATCTGCTTGTGCCAGAGCACCAAACATGGCATGGCCTGCCCCTCAGCCCCTCCTTTCCCCCCCGAGTGGTCCCTGCAGCCCCCATGCCGGCCTCATGTCCTTCCCATCCACCGTCCTTCAGAGCCGGTCCCCAAAACCCTGTACATCCTCCCACCCCAACAGGCTTCTTTTCTTCCCCAGTGTGCCTCCAATAGCCCGCTTCTGCCACATCCCAACAGGGGCACCATTTAAGGAGGGCATCTCCCCCCACCCAAGTTTTGTATCACTGGCTGGGAGCAACTCCCCCACCCTCTGGTCCTCCATCACTTGCTCGCTCCTCTCCCCACTCCCGTCACCGGCTGGGGGTGACCCGCCCCCGTCATTCACTCCTCTTCCCCCTTCCCTCCCCAGCCAGGAGTTGCCAACCCCTAGTCTGAAATGGCAGCTCTGTATCCCAGCTGTCCCCCACTTCTCTAGGGCTGCTCTCTGGAATCTCCTTGGTCCCTCCCACTACCTGGAGTCTCCTTCCTGCAAATCTGCTATCCCAGCCCCCAAAGGGGCATCATACTGCTAAAATGGATCATAGTCCAATAGCTTCACCTCCTGGCTATGAGCCCAAAAGTACTCTCACCCATACACTCACACCCTGCTTTGCTGCCCAGATCCCAGCCCATACCCATTCCTCTTCCCTCTTTCCCCCATCTCTGCTACTTGGCTCTGTTGGGGGCATGGAGGAACATTTGTGGGAGTGCGAGGGATGAGTGGTAACGCCAGGCAGCTCAGGCCAGCCCCGCACATCCCACTTTCAGTTCAGGGAAATATGGTCACCCTACTGAGAGGCCTCCCCTACTTCTTGTGTTTAGCCTCAAATTGCATTTTCTTTGTGTTCAGAATGTAAAAGTCTTGGCATCACATAGTTCCCTCCACATTAAAGCTAAAATGAGCTTCAGAGATTTTATCTGATCAGGCTGCAAGCCTATGCTGTACTCACAGCTCCATTTAAGTGGAGCTGTTTTAAGAATTCCTGTAAGTATTGCTTAGAATATACAGTTCTTAACTGCATACATGACTCTTTATCATAAACAGTAATAATGAAGATTTAAACACACTCTGCATTTTTTCCATTCTTTTTCTCTTATCGGGTAATTGTTTTTGAAGACTATTTTCAAAAGTTGAGTAGGAGAACATCTGTTTATGGCAATCACCGTAGTTGGTGCATAGACAGAGTACTGACCATGAGAGCATCATTGATTTTCATGTAGGGCTAGTCCCCTAAGCCTCCCATATGCTGAAAACCATTTCTACTGTTGGTGCTATTCCAGATGGTGGGGTTAGTCCCTTTGCCCAAGACTCCTGGATATCTGCTCTCCAAAAGGCCCGGAGAACACAGGAAGTGGACAAGACAGCAGGAGTATAGGGGCTGGCTTGAAGGCAGTTGTACATGACTGAAATAGGCAATTTATCATGGCAGATCTGTGAAAATACTCAGATTCTTGATCTTTTATTTCCTTTTTATGGTAAAAGATGTTATATTAGGACTCTTTATTTTAAATTCACATGTACTAATATCCACGCTGTCATAGACAAAAACGTGTACACTATGTTACTGATATACTGTAAATACATAGGACTAAAATTAATCAAAAAAGAGTTCTTTTACACCTCAAGATTCTGTATTGTGCTAGTCAGTTTATCAGCTACTGAACTACATAATTAATAAGCTTTTGAGATATCAGAAATTAATTTAATGTGGAAGAAAGAAGAACCTGTGTATTTTTAAAAATGTTGGCCCAGTTAAAGCCAATTTGGGGAATTTCTTTCGGATCTGAAGTAGAGTGCTGCTGTTACTGCCATTTCAGCTAGTTACAGCTGTTTTAGGAATGTTTCCGAGATGTTGCCAAAAATGTGCTGTTATCTCTAGATGTTCTAATATTAGAGTGAAATTTATATTGAAAAACATTTAAATAGGATCAAAATACATTTAAATACATCTTCAAATCTGGTGTTTTATATTTCAAGTTTCTTTTATAATAAGATTCAGTATGATTTTAACTGGCTATACCTGATATATTTTTCTTTTAAATAAGTAAGTTGATCAGAAGTTAAACTCTGATGTAATTGTTAATTGAGTGGATCGTGCTATTTGAAGCATCACTGATAAAAGAATAAATATCAACTAACAATATAAAGTAAATCTGATGTTAACAAAGAGGTTGAATACAGTAAAATAAAGGACTGTAAAAAAGTAGTGGGATAGTTGTTTCTCTGGTGGTTGGGTTTTTTATCAGGCTGATGAGTTTGTAAACATTCCTATCTTGACTGAAAAAGCTCAACAGTGCCTTGAATTGTCACTATAGTTCTAGAATGATGATTTTTGTTGGCTTTCCCCCCAATATTCTATGTATTTTATGACAGGTTTCAGAGTAGCAGCCGTGTTAGTCTGTATCCGCAAAAAGAACAGGAGTACTTGTGGCACCTTAGAGACTAATAAATAAATTTGTTAGTCTCTAAGGTGCCACAATTACTCCTGTTCTTTTTATGTATTTTATGAAACATTTCAGTGTAATTATACATTTTTCTGGGGAAAGTAATCTGATAAAATGCATATCACTAGGAATTTAAATCTGAATATAAAATTTTCTGTACACTTGATTGAACCAAGTTTCTGAAAATCCAACAGTTCACAATGTTGTTGGATGAATCCACTACAGAGATGCTATATGTCTGCTTAAACATTATAGGACAGTACACTATTTATTCCACTAGGTGAGAGAAGAAATAATGTCAAACCATGCAAACTGAAATCAGGAAATATGATACCAAGAACTCAGGAAGCAAAAAGCCACTGGAAAACTGATGCTGCTTCTTCATTATTAGCAAATTGTGCATACTAATGTATCGTGATTATTAGAAATTTTTAAGAAATAGGTAAATTATAACTAGTAATCAAATTTAGTGTAGAATATGCACAGGGTGAAATAAGCAACTAGCTGCCTGTTTTATTTTCCAATATGAATTCAGCTTTCTGTCTCTTGTCTTATAAAAGTCTAACTGAAGACAAAAATGACATCAAACTGAGATTCTTCTTTAGCTGTGAAAGAAAAGAACAAACAGCCATTTAAATGTGTGGTTGTTGATGCTCTGCAAGCGCTTCCCTTCTGCAACTGGGCTGACTGATGGGCTTTTTAAAAACGTCACTGCAATCAGATAGATGGGTGCAGCTTTGCTTTACCGCAGCATGATGCAGTTGTGTCTAATACAGTGTGTTGTTCTTGGAAACAGACTGAAGGGAAGCAGCTGACCAGAACACATATACAATACTCGTTAGAGGTCTTTCTAAAAAGAAAAGAATAACAGAACCTGTGAAATTCCTTCAGCTGCAGAAGAGACATTCTCAGTAGGGCTTCAAGTTGATACTCTGTGTTTGCTTGCAGGAGGAGGTGCATACGATCAGTCTATCAGTCTCCAATGGAAAAAGCCTTCAGATAGGCAGATTGCACGCTATTAGAAGGCCAGCTCAAACACCCTTCCAGGAGACATTCTAACTGTTTTATACAACAGCTGCTTTGGTACAGTACATGTATTAAACGGAGCCTATGGAAAAGCTGCAAAAATCTGATTCATTGTGGAATGGAGTACGTGAAAGCTCCTATTGAATGTCTGCAGGGTGGGGAAAAAAATACAGCAAATAAAGCTAAGTACCAGCCCTGAAGGAGGAGCAGAGGACGAGCATCTCATGGTGTGTTGTTGTTGTTGTTGTATTAAATGAGGGCTTACCTACCACGGAAGAAGTTGATCTGCAGAGACTTCATTTCCTCTTCTGACCCCTCGTTTACATCACTAACTGGTGACAGTTACATCTACATACATAGTACCTGCCACTTCAACTGCTCAGAATTATAGAAGCCTCTTTGTATGCAGCAGACATGGCTAGCCAGCAGGATTCAGGCTTCTTTGAAATCAGTATCAAATATTTACTGAAGTCCTGGAGCAATAGTGAGTAACAGAAGAATAATCTTTTAATATTGTACATTGATTGGTAGACAGTAAGGATAACCAAAATAATAAAATCTTAAATTTACTATATGTTTGTGTTATTAGTGAAACAAATAATTTTTGCTTTTATCTTCTATAAAGATAAAAATATCACAGATTTAAATAGCTTTCATTAACTGCAAATATGGCAATGAGATTATTCTAGGTTTTGCTTGATTGAATTCTCAAGTTAGGCTGCTTCCAGGCTCTCTGAAATAGCACAGAGGTAGTGCATTAAAACAGAATTTCCTGCCTAGATGTTTGTTTGATTTGTTCAGGCTTTATCTAAATATTTTAAGTGATATTTAATCTGAGGGGTGTGGCATTGTTTTGAAGTATTTTGTATTTGTTTTATCCTTGTATCATGTGAACAAAAAAATGGACTGCTTATGTTCCAGATCTGCAAGTCATCACTGTAATATTGTAAAAGCCAAAAAATAATAATAATTAGGTACTTACAGCTTTGTTTCCCCCCCTTCCTTTGTGCTTTAAATTCAAACTCGTTTGAAACATTAGTATCAAAAAGGTATCAGGATGTATATCTAATCCAAACAGAAGCTTTATAAAATGTAAACAAATGAGATTATAGTCTTCTTTAATTATTTCTCTATTCATAATGCTAATAATTTATCACTATGTATATCAATCAGTCTTATTTTTCAGGAATGCATTGTAATATAATAATGTATTATGATGTATAAGATCTCAAAGTAGAGGCAATGGTTGTAAATATAGTCACATCAGAGTCAGGCCTCTAGATTCTTACTTCTGATACAGAATGAATTTTTATTTAAAATATATACATATATGTTATATTCTCTTTTCACATTAGCAACTGTTAGTAGTGGCAGACTCAATACATTAACAGTTTAAAAATATAGAACACAGTCTCTCTGGAAAAATCCAATTTGGATTCATTACTGCATACGTAACCATCATCCCAATATCTATAATTAAATAGCTCCTGAATAAAATGGTGTGTTAGATACTATAGTATATAAAATTATACCTCTGCAGACGTTGTTAGTGCCCGACATACATCTGATAACCTGTTAAGAAATGTAAAAAACCCCTAAATATGTATTGTATTAGGATATCCATCTCTAAATGATATCCATAGAAACCATGTTTTTTCCAGGTCAATTTCAACCATAGGGCTTGTCTGAGTCAGTTTTTCTACCACAAGTGTGAAACCACTAGGGAATAATACTGTTACCTAAACAGTATTTCTTGATTTGCTATAATCCTACAGCATTTTGCATATGTTCATTACATTTAGAATCTATGACATAATAAGAATTAGATGATGAATTTAGTATTATTTTGCTTTTGAACTATTAATTGATTAAAGGAAACAAAAGTATGTGTTGTAACAATGGGTGTCATAACTAATTACAGTCAGTGTTATGAAAAGAAAGAAAAATAAATCATTTTGAGGGTAGGGAAATTGTCATAAATGGATCCTGTTTCTTTTTTAAAATACAATAATAATAAAGGCCAGGTGATATTAGCCTTACATTTTTTTAATCATACGAGGTAAGAACATAACACTGTTACAATATTATGAAGATGGATATAATTTTTTTAATTTCTAAATTGCTGATACCACAGATTTTTTTTCCTAGGAAAATATTTTGAAATAGCTAATGCCATTCCTAAACTGAAATTAGAAGTCCTTAAATGAAATTCAGTATTTTTCTCTGGTTTAGAAAAATTAAATTGATATATCCAGTATCACTCTTTCTGCCATTCTTTCACAGATAAATGGCGTTCTCTACTGTACTTCGATTAAACATTGAGGAAATCCAGTCAGTTAATCCAATTTTATTTAAAGTTGTTGCCAGACTATCTACTTGCAGTCTGAAACACTGTTTATGAAATTGTACATATTTTCTGTGGTTGAACAATAAGCTATTTAATCAGAAAATTCTGAGGAGTTCAAAAGATTTGGGGCTCTATTAAACTCTGTTAAGTGGTGGATGGAACACCCTTGCTTAAAATTTACTGCTAAGGTTCCACATGCATGCACAGGAACGTGCTTTTCAGTCATTCCTGCTGAAGCGTATTAAGGTTTATACAGAGCATGAACTTTTTCTTAATGGACTGGTTAGTGCACAGTTACCCGTTCTGTTGCATGGAATGGTGTTAGTGTCCAACTTTGCTATCTAAGGTCTTCTGAAATGCAATACTACTTTACACTTTCATGAAGCAGCAAGGTAGGATTTCTACCTGGCATTCCAGAGTGCTTGCCAAGGGGCCCATCTATCATGTTCACTGGCACACCATGGTCAGGTGAGGGAACCAGCTAAGACTTATTTTAGGTGATTTTATGTGCTCATCATATTTAGGCTCAGCTTGGCAATAGCATGTTGTAGATGGGCACATACAGCTGCTTTTTGGAGCAGCAAAAGGATGCATTCAGTGGTATGGCTCGAGCCATCCACCAAGTTGATTCCTTTGCATTCCCCCATATGTGGCTCTAAGGATTAAAGGCAGAGTTTTGTCCTAAATATGTTAATGAAAGACTGCATTTCAAACAAAGCTGGCAAATATTCCTATAACTTGCCAGATATATGGATTGACACTGCTTCCATTTGCCACTTTTCTCATATAGGAACGGCTGTAGTTCATAAAAGCAGTACATATTATTATTTTAGAAAATTATATTAATAAAAATACCAAGGGCCAGATACTGATACCCTTACTCGTGTTGAATAGTACCTTACTCCAAGAGTAGTTCCATTGAAATAAGTGGGACAACTCCTGGACTAAAATTCTAAATGTGAGCAAGGGTATCAGAATATCATTTGTAGATTTATTTTGTGGTCATGTCCCAAACCCTGTATTTTTAAAGAAATTATTTAAATTAAAGCAAAGTATATGTAACAAGAAGGTTCAGTATATTAGGCTGGTCTGTCAGTAGAATATTTGCTTTTTAACTGGTTGTTATATCTTGGATTTATTCTTAACTTCTTATCTTTTGAGAATAAAAAAAATCTGTAGATAAGGGATCTTTTTATTGGCTACAGGAAGTGTACACTATTAAATATCCAAACACAAATTCATGTTTTTGTACTTTCTATATTAGACTAGCAATTCAGTGTTTTCTTCCTTTCCTATTCTGTAGGAGATTCAAAATGGTGCAGGTAAATGGCTTCCTTCCTCTCGCCACAATTCAAATATTATGTGAGCTGGTACAGATTGTTTTGCAATGATTTCCTGTTCCCAAATATATATTTTAAGATGGCGTTTATGGATTGTAAAACGATAGATGGGACATATTTTGCATAGCTAACATTTTGGTTCCTTCTGTTCCTTTTCATAGAATTGATTCAGCAACTACAATTGTTTCATCATAAAGGTCACATATTTAGGAATAATGATACTTGCTTTCAAGTCAATAAGACTTTGGAATTCTCTGCCTTTGAATGTTAGAGCCTTATCTCTATACATACATTTAATTTAAATTCAGACTGAGGCCTTTCTTGTTCAAAGTTGAATTTTAATTATTGTTGGGGCTACATTTTGTGATGTGTAGAAGTGAAAGGTCTATGTATATGTGACAAAGTGGGAAAGTTCTTAATGTTTTGGCTGAATACTGTGTGCATGCCTCAATTTTCCCTATGTGTTACTCAAGTATCTAGGTGGTGGGACAAGAGTGTGTGATCATTGCAGAGACCCCAAGAAGGCAGGTGTGACTGATGTCTGGCTACCTGGGCACAGACAATGGCTGACACTCTGTATCCTGGCAATTGATGTCTAGGGCCCATCCTCTGCAAGAATCAGCTGGAGGTGCTAGAAAACAAAGTGAGAGGTACAGGTCAGGTGACCTGTTTGCTTGGGAAAGAGAAAAGGACGGAGGTGAGGCAGCAGGTCGTGACCAAGGCTGGGCAGCTGGGAGCTGGTCAGTCTCCTGTTTTGGGACTCGGGGATAGAGCTCTGGGCTCTGGATTTCCCCCCTCCATGATGGACTTTGGTGAATGTTCCTTATTTCTCTGCTAACACGATCTGTTCTATGCTGTGTTCCTGATGACTAATAAACACTTCTGTTTTCCAAGCTGGTTGAGAGTCATTGCTGACTGTGGATGTGGGGTGCAGGGCTGCTTTGGGGATCGTATAAGGCTTCTCTAGGTGTCCCATTCTCTAGGTGTACTCACTGCAGGGAACTCACGGTGTGAACAGGGGTTCTGAATGCTCTGAGGCCAGATCCAGGAAGCACTGGAGCTGAGGAGGCTTGCTCTGGTGAGAGTGTGCCCTGAGGGGAATCACACTGCACTAGAGTCCTGTATTTTTAAAAAAGGAAAAAGAAATGTAATGTAAAGTTATTTTGAAGACCCGTGTTGGTTAGGGAGGCTTTGATGTACTAAGCATCAGTGACACATTGTGTCCTATCTGTTTTTAAAATAACTTTCACTACTGGTTGGAGGTTCTTATTTTACCTTTTCAGAGGGGAGAAGGAGGGGGTTGTCTTTTTTGTCCCATGTGGGTTGTTTTGTAAATGCATATATGGAGAAACAGGGCAACAGTGTTAAGTGCAGTAATGGCTAGTACTTGTACTTCCTTGAGGAGGATCATAACATGGTATGTGACGTGCTCTAGCCTCAAGGTGTCAGAGCCCTGGATGGGTTTCTTATGTCATTACTCAGCTTCCCTGTGTTTTCAGGTGCAAGTCCATCATTAAAGGAAGGAGCCCTCAAGATATGCTGAGTATAGGGTAATACCCATGGAAGATTAAAAATCCCAGAATTGAATAATTGTAGATCAATGCAGATCTAGCCTAATAGGCCCAAAGGTGATGCAATGACATCCATGGAGCAATCCTCATTGTGTCAAGATGAAGTGACATCTCGTTGCAGTCAAGGTCATGATGCGGTACCCTCATGGCTCTTCACTTAAGAGTTGAAGCATTGGAGCCTTCCTCGAAGCTTGTGTTGAGGCACGCACGGTTGGTGGGTCATCTT